GGAATAAGCTATTATCGAAATTAATGTGCAGGGATAATGTTAAGAGTAACAATTAACGTTGAAAATTGGAGAGGATAACTTTTCTGGCGAAGTGATTGAGTAGGATAAGGAACGAATAACAACACAGAGCTCAACTAAGGAAAATGAAGGACATGTGGAAGCGCATGCTGAGACGAGAAGAATGGCTGAATAGCAATTCTTAAAGTGTTTTGGAAGGCACATGCAGCTATGCCACATTTTCGAAATTATGTGTCGATCGAGCATGGAATGGGTAGTGGTTAGAGATACTGTGCAGTAGGTGCATAGTTGCTATTTTTTTAAGCTTTGCTATGCATAGCCTAACGAAATCATCTATACATTCGTAGAACTGTTATTAAGCTTGTTGGGAAAGAGCTTCTTCCAATAAACAATGGCCGGCGTCTGCCTGCAATATAAGTCTGGGAACGCTGTTGCAGAACTGTAAGAATTTCAAGAAGAATCAACGCTACCAGCATTCATCGATATTTATGGAGAAAGCGAAATTGTTAAGTGGAATCTAAACGCACGCAAAATACGAGGTTGTTCCTGGATGATGAATGGGAGTCAGGCAACCGAATGAAAAAAATGCTGGGAATCTGACAAAATGTGAGGTTGGTCCATGTGCGTAAATAAAAGAAGTGTGCTTGTCGTGATCAGAAATATTGTGGAACTGCGGAGTTGAAGGAGTGCGGATGTTATACAAAATCGTATTCATTCATGTGGTGTAGGTGGAGCAGTCGCATCGTTTGCAAGGATATAGGTGATATAGAGTGCTTTGAGTATAGTATACAGTATGTATACATATACAGTATACATACATATATACATAGAGTATACATAAATTGATCAAAGAGTTCCTATTATGACGGACATGGATTGTAAGAGGTGCACATGTACCACGACCATCTAATGGAATAACTGCTATTCATGATCTTACGCAATTCAACTAGCCCAAGGGCAGTTTTGAAATTCGAGATACCAGGTTTATTTGTCCCGAACATTGTTGTCACGTGCTTTAATTCGCATAGCATTTGATTTTCGGTCAGCTTTAGCTCGTTTTTTGTGGTCCATTAGACATTCTTTTTTGATACTTTTTTGATAAACAAACTACTATGTTGTCTGGAAGTTAAGGTTTTTTCTGAACTTTGACGCGTTGTTTTATCTTTAGGTGCATCGCGGGGTACCTTGCCATGGTTTGTTCTTTTCACCGAGGTCCTACCCAATACGGTAGCAAAGTCGACTATTCGATACATAAGTGTACGTTCTCAACTATGAGACACATGAGCTTATGCAGTCTTCTCAGCCGTTAGCATAAACTTCGTATTTTTGTATGTACAAAGGTGGCTGTAGACGCTGTTGCAAAGTAGTCGAGGTCATAGAGTTCTATGGTGGCTCAACCACTGCTTCCGACTTTCCATTTCTTGGCATTGCTTAGAATCAATGCCTACTTTGGAAATGAATGGAGTGTCTTTAGGCTGTTATTCGAATTAAGATGGTCGTTTCGGGGTATAACATTTGTTCTCGTACGTTCGCGATAGTATTGTTGTTTTCGATAAACAAAGTGCTTGAGAGCTCAAGAACTTCACACGCTTGTGCGAGGTACTCTCTATTGATGTAAGAGTAAAGTATGATTTCTTTGATGGGATAGATTTCTGATGATAGTAAGATGTGAGAGTCTTTAGAAAGACGTTATTTTACTTTTGAAATTGCTTGGAATTAAAAATTGAGGTAAAGTGAGGATCCAAATTTTTGTAATCCCTTGCACAAACTCGGTCATTACAACCCGTCAACTGTCGTTGGAAGGACAATGCGTCCTGCTGGGCGAACTTCAGTTCACTGTTTGGAATAAGAGCCTTGGAAAATAGAAAATAAAATAGGAATAGAAAAGAGTAACAATATTATTCTTGTTACCATTAAAATGAGAATTTCATCTTAGTGTAACAAGGAGACTTATGCCTTGTTGACAGTGATCTGTAGATTTTAACTGTTCTATTTTCATTTTCATTTTCATGTTACGAGCTGATCTATACTTGCTTGAAGCTGACAGGCTGAGTTTTCACCACACGAGTAGGAATCAGTTCTGATTAATTCGTTTCCAGTACCACTTTATGGCTTAACTTTTCTTCAAAAATTTCTTTAGACATTAAAAAAGTGAATGCTAGTTTTTTTCCTCGGTTGTTCATAAGTGCATTTTAAATGCTACTACTCTTTCTGATTTCTGCCTTGAGTCACTCAAAACGTTCTATTTCTGTGCAATCATCGTTATCCTTACAATAGAGCAGTTATCGGAGAGTAAGAACTACTTTAGACAAGAAAGTAATTAAAAACAGCAATTGCTGTCCCATTACCAGCTCTTTGATTGCACGTAATTTTCCTGACCTTGTAAACAACGATCAAATAAAACACAGCGTTAACACCCACGTCCGACTTTCTATTAACCTCGGCATTGATTGAACAATTCTTTCCACTTCTGTTCAGCAAACACGAAGTGCTATTTTATTTCTTTATTTACGTACAAGCTGACGTTTTGGCGGATTTTGCCTTCCTCAGAGCCTGGAAAGGTCAAGTTGACAGCAACCTATTCGGCCAAACAACACCTTCATAACCAAGCAGAGAAAACGCTAAACCAAGATTTCAATCACATTGATTCAGCTTTTACGTAAATAAAGAAATAAAATAGCACTTCGTGTTTGCTGAACAGAAGTGGAAAGAATTGTACAACTTTAACGCTTACGCAACGACGTGACCTCTACAGAAGTCGTTTTTTTAACCCATTTCTCTACGCTCGTAATCAATAGATAGCGTTTCTGACTCATATTTGATGGCAGACATCAGCCGAGAAGGGCTTTTCTCTACTTTTAGAAATGTTTTTCAAAAACTTTTTCGCGAACAGCTTCATTGACCAGTAATTTCACTGGCAATGAACTGTTATTCCGAGTTCACCCACTATAATGAATTACGGCTACCGTACGGAAAGGATCTTGTAAAAACTACTGAAATAGACTCAGCAAAAGCTACAAAATACAACCACAATGATGGTGAGATATTTGCTAAATTCCGGATCACAGGTGTCTGTGGTGGCGAACGAATGCGCTATCACCCTTTCCGGGGACTAACGCGTTCACCACCACACCATGCAAAGCCTTCGTTCCGCCTATCTCTCAAGTAGTTCTATCGATCAGTACCATAAGCAATCACTCGTCAACGGGGTTGATCTGGCGAACCCAATTCGGCAATGAACCCCGGAAATAGTAGCGCGAAATAGCAAATTAGTACCAGATTTGTCTGGGATAATAGTAGCACTGACTTCATCGATAGGTCACTACGAGTCATTGTATAGCGGAGATGTGGATTCAGTCACCTCTAACGATGCTTAATGAAGGCGAATGCATAGTACATCGTTTAGGAATTGATAAACGCCGAAGACTACGTTGTATTGGAAATTACGTTGCACCGCTCAGTAATTTGACAGTTTTGCGTACAGTTATGTAGCATCGAACGATTCCATTACAGTCGCAACATTTGACCTCGCATCACGAAGATCTCAAACAGGATTTTGTTCTTGGCAGATGGTTTGATATGATTTTAAGTAACTAAGTGTGGCCTTCACAAACCATGTTATTCCATTCGTTGACACAGTTCCCAGCTGGTGAGGGATCTAACCTTAAATCGCGATGAATTAGTTGAAACAGGATCTTAGTAGGAAGTAGGTTGCGAGTTTTCACAAATAAGTCAGCGGACGAGCGGCGCTGTGGTGGTGATGCCGCTGTTCACGAGCACGGTGCTTGTTCAACTACACACCAAGTTCACCAATCTTCTCATCACTTCTGGGTCAGGAAATTGGTACCGGACTTGTTTGGGAATTAGCATGGCTACTCCGGGACTCCAGGGAGAATCGATTCGATAAAGATTTGAAGACATTCTTGACAAGAACAAAGAAAGTCATCAGACATTGACATGCCAACATACAAAAGTCTCTAGACTTTCGTGGATAATGGATGCGATTGAAAGAATGGAGTGTAAGAAGTGGTCAACTTCGAACAGTAGAAGTGAAGCAGGTGATATAAAAATGTATAAAGGAAATAAGCAAATTTGGGCCGGAACATGCTGGTTTTTCTCATTTAGGACGAGAAATGACCGTTGTTTCCAAATACCTCTGCCACGTTATGTTTTTTATTTTATTTTATTTTTCTTGGTAAAGATATATGGAGAGAGTTGTCGAGGTGGTTAGTGACGTAGTTCATCAGGAGGGCAAGACCCTGGTTCCACCATATTCCCAACGCCCTCCTCCAATCCACGTGAGAATACTTTAGCTCGACTGTCTCCAAGATCGCAAGGTGAGTCGAGACGACGTTCATAAAGGTGATGAAATCCTTGAGCAGCAGCTGAAATAACACGTGAAATGTTCGAAGACCATTGTGGACTATGAATGCGAGGTAAACGAATCGAATGCAGGAAGTGCTGCGATTGGAACAGTAGAACTGGTGACGGGTCATGTAAAATAGAAAAAGTACCAGTATGATGGCGTTGGTTTCTTCGCACCAATTTTTGCATTTATTTTTACAGAGTGCATAATGACGAGAAATATCGTCAAGATATTTTCTTTACCGCCGTGCACTTAACCTCATCATGTATGCAATGCGCTACACGCATGCAAAGCTATCCTTTAGTATTTTGTTAGTTCATGGCTAACTTTGTAACTTTGCGTTATAAACGAGTCTGTTTAGTAGTATGGGGTAACCTTGTTGAAAACTGCTTTTTTCCCCTAATAGATTTATCTTAAGTGTGATAGACCATGATTTTGCCGTTCCTTAGTTTATGTTTCACCTTAGGTGAATACGATAACCAAAGCGCGCAGGTCGTGAAATTTTCACCTAGAGTTCCGCGTTTGTCACACTTTCTGCCCGAATTGAGGTGTGTGTAAACTCATTTCACAGTGGAAAACATGGTGTTTATCACAAATCTGCGTGTAGAGCTATTGTATGGAGTCTTGTGGGCTTATTGGCCCCTCAGACAGATTGGAGTTCACAAGAGAATTGGGAATTTGAGAAGGATCATCCATTTTTGTTGAATTCTCATGAGATTTCAACATAGCATCCAGGTTTTTCTGAAATGTTCACATGTTCTGTCAAATGACCTTCGACGATCTCATAAGAAATGCTGTAGAGCCTGCTAGAAATGTAGAAGGTACTATTTAGAGTCCATATTCTGTTCTTGGAACTCTCGTAATTATGCTGCATATCCTTACTAGGGAATCCTTTCGAATACGATTGAACAATTTAGCCCTGTTTCAGCGTGTATTGCAAGTGGTCTTGGAAGGCATTGGAATCGCCGCCGTAGCTCATGCTCACTTCGCCCTTAGATTGATCTCAGGACCTATTCGACATGCTGCTGGTGAGTTCGAGTCAAAGCGTCTTGAGCGTCAATGCACTGCAAACTCTTAGGGAATAAGCAAAATTAACTGTTAATCATCGTCTGCAATCGTTTAAGATCATGTGTGGCTTCACCCATATCTTCTCATATCGAATCTTCGGCACACCTACGCCAGGTTTCTTACGTCTACCGCTGCTAGCCAAGATCTCTAGTTAGTTCTATAATTTTATCCATTGCCTATTTCTGGCATGGTTTTTAGCACTTTTGTTTGTTTTTAATCACCACAATCAACAAAGGTTTATTGTAATGTTGTTGCATTTTTCCATTCTGTACATTCTTGAAGAAATGACTTGATCGAAAAAAAAATTGTTTTGATCGTATCGGCCCTGGACAAGGAACAAATTCTTAATTGTAATGCTTAGGCCTGTAGACTCTTAAAGGGTCATAAAGCTTGTATGAATACCATGTTAATTGCGCTTTTGATTGCAATGGACTGAGAGCATAAGCAAATGCTTTGAAAGGCGTTCAGATTTGCTTTTGTGAATTTATCGAATTTTATGTTCACCGTGGTTTGTTGGTAGCTCAAGTTTGCCCTTATATTCGGGTGTTGATCTGCTGGATACAAACCCAATGAGCAAAGATCTCCATGCACATGAGACATGTTATGACTTAACCGTCGCGTGAAGCACAGTGGTAGGAGGCGCTCCGCAATACACATGGCACCGATCTCCGTTCCCAAGGCTCACCAAGTGTTCCATCCATGCGGGGTCGGCAACTTGGTACCAGATTTGTCTAGGAGGATAGGAGCACTGGCTGGATACGTTGGTAGTCCACCGTGAGTCATTGTAAAGGCCAGATATGCATTCATTCACCTCCAGTGACGCTTAATGAAGTCGAGTGAATGACGCGTCCCTCAGGGAATGGTCAACGCCGATAGCTTTTTTATGACTTAACCATCATTATATATAAAGAGAGCTCAGCGAAACTATCTTGTTTTATTGAAACAAAGCCAGACGAAAGCAGGAAACTATACGGTCTTGTCACTTAGTAAGAACATAAAGAGTGACTATTATGGTATTACATTACTGCTGAGACAACTTATTTAAAGTTTGTCAAGACTAGTAAGAACGTTGTTTAAAAGAGAAGAGTTCCCCATTGTAAAAGATTCTGTAATTTAGAGGTTTCGAAGTGTTTTCGAAAGATTCATCAAAAAAAGCGTTGTAGAAAAAGATTCGATAACAGGTAAAACTGTATGGTCACCTGCAACGTATACCCCAACAAAAGGTCCACTCATCACCACAAACAAGTTAACGAACTGCTACATGTTTGGTCCAGTTCGCCACTACTAGTTGGTGCAGACTGTTCTCGTATCTTCACCACTGGTGCCGTTGTGTTCGCTTTTCCATATTACGACTAAAATCTAAGGTGGTGAAAAACCGCAAGGGTGCTTGAATTTTTGCTGGTTCACGAAAAAAGTCGAAGTAATTCTCAGAATAGGTGATCTTGTGAGGGATTGTGCACTTGCAATGCGTTCATATTTTTTAACATCCAGGAATACTCTATCATTACTCTGATATAGCACACCTCAGAGCAAGATTTGGGAGTTGTGATTTTGGCAGAACCGTCACCAACATCATCCGTCTACATGTAACGCAGTGGTTATTAGTGCTCTGAAATGCACAGGTGGTCGCTGATTCGAGTTTGTGTCGCGGGTTCAACAAGAATTCCATCCCTCTGAAGACGGTAAATAGATGCCAAACTTCTCTGAGAGAAGAGCACTATTGTCTTAATAGATCGGTAGGTCAACGTATTTGGATACTTTTCCTCCTCCTGTAGAATGGTGAAGTACTACTTTTGAAATTGCTGCATGGAACTTTGCTACTCGTGAAAATCATTTACGTACGAGGCAACGACGCCCTTGTTCTGCAGAACGACTTCTTAAACGGAATTGAATTTACTTTTCAAGTCAGTGAAAATGAGACGATGGGATCTGATTCATATTCGCGATACTTCATTGAGTTTCTTTACCACCTGGAGGTGATCCCCTGTACTGAATTCTTTCCAATACACTGCTTGCTTACATGGGCACCATTCATCCAGTATTTCGTTAATGCTGTTGAAAATAACTTGAGCAATGATTGTAGACGGGCAGCAGGAAGGCTGGAAAGATAGTGCAAAACCATGTAGGTTCTCGTGCTTCAGCACGCTGTTCCAATAAGTTTGGAGCTTTGTTTCCTTAGAGATACATTCTGCTACTTTCGAACAGAAAATGTTTGAAAAGCGACCAAGTGTGTTTATGAATATTTTCGGTAAAAAAGAAAAAAAACATTTTTTGGTAGACTCATTTAATGTCTGGATGTGATTAGATCCCTATCAGTTGCTGGACAGTTCTTCACTGACAAGATGGGAGACAACATGTCTATCTCACAAATTTCGAAATTGGTAAATGGGTTCGCTATCGTGAAGGTCGGACTATAGGTGGATAGTTTCTGTATTGCCGCATCGCCTAACACTGCTCTGTCTGAACGCCAGGAAATGGATTTGAATGTAAGCTGGTGTTTCACTGCAGGTCACGCGTCTTCAAAGTGGGACCTTTAAGTTTACTAGTTAGGCTACTTAAATGAGTTGAAATTACCTCAAAAAGTGTTTTACAGACTAAGATTTCTCGCCTTAAAACTTTTTTATTTCTCATTTAGAGTTTCGGAATTTTCAATTTGTTTGAAGCAGTTTTATTTTCTCTGCATGGTTCAGACGTGCAGGACGATCTAGGAACGTTTATTTTTAAAAAAGTTAGTTGTGGAGATGAGGCGAGGGTAGCGTTGTGATAAAAGTGGCATCGTAGTGTCGCACTAATATGTACGCCGCCCTGGTTCGACCCCGCACAGAGTCGAACAGTCCCTCTATCGTTCGATGTGTTTCGGGAATTGGTACTAGACCTGTAGAGAAAGTCCCCAAAGTCGGCGAATAGATTTGGTGAAGATATGAAGAGCCTCTATTACAGCTATCTTAGTACTCTAGGAAAAAACGACTTGATGAGACACCACGCCGTTCATAAAGGAGACAAAATGACCAAACAGCAGCTGTGCCCACGTGAAAATCCGAAAACTTTCATGGATGATTTATATGAGGAAACGAATCGAATTAAAGAAGTTCTGGCACCTGCACGACAATGTTTATGTCGGGTCATGTAAAAAAAAGTTAAGATTTACCCATTAGTTGCAGGTGCTTCCAAAATTGCGCCTGGTTTTTCTTCTGTGTTTATTTTTTCTAGTCTGAATGGCCTCTAAACAAAGTCCATGCTTAGCTTTTCTGTCCTACGCAAAATTTGGGGTTGTACATTTTCAAATTTACTGGTGCATTCACTGAATGACGTTTCATATCAAAGTACTTTTTCTATGGCACTATGTTTCATAAACCTTTTGATTTGATAAACGTTAAGGAAATACGTTCAGCATTAGTTTGTCGCCAGTTCACAAATCTCGTTTAGCTTTACCAAGTAACAGTTTCACTGATTACTTGTATTATTTGTAGTCCCGTTACTTATCGAATGACTCGTGCGGACAAAATTAAAGAATTAAAGTCTTTATTCTTGGCTTTCTTGCGTCTTAGTTATCTTGTGGATTCTGATTATTCAAGGGACACGGACAGCATCTTGTTCTATGAGGTCTTTTCCTTTCTGTTCTTGGTCTTAGGGTACACAAGATAGCTTTTTGGACTCTGTCGCAAGTTTACTCATACACAGCTTGTCAGGCTTATCCGAAGGGATGTGGGATATAATTTAGGAAACGACCTCGAACTATCTGTTATGTTCCGTCAATTAACTCCACATTCTTTGTCCGATGATGCGGCAGTTTTAAAAAGTTGTAGTTTAATTTGGTCTCACACAGGACCCATAATCATGAACATTTCTCTTTATGGTTCTTTGGTATCGAGCCTTTTTGATCAAGTTTTTAATTTGAATAAAATATTGCAGCTTGGAATTACGACTGAGATTTGTGCCTCAATCAGCATATGAGCTCCTTCTAACCGAGTCCAATGCTTTTTTCTACCTCAATGAACAGGTTTGTTGTGTCGAAAAATTTCGAGTGATCTCTGTGAGGAGTTTCCTAATCTGCACGGAATTACAAAACCAATGTACGCACCGAAGCTTCAAATGCGGTTTTTTGCGTTTTAGAACTATAATGATACGTAGAAAACATCAAAATGTTATAGCTTTCTTAACACTCTGAGCAGGCTGATCCAAGGATGCATTCTTTTGTTATACTACATTGATGGTAATCCGATTTCTAACTTTTGGAACTTGATCATATTTCTTTCTATATTGAACACGTAATTACCATCCGGTAACAATGCAATTTGATCAAACAGAATTCCAGTAGGGTTTCTTCCCTATGCACCACGTTCATACCGTGTCTGTGGTCATAGAAATCTGATGGGAATACAACCACAACGATACTGAGATATTTGCAAAACTCCGAACTGCAGGTGTATGTGGTGGAGTACGAGCCCGCTATTACCTTTTGCGGGGCCTAAAGCGTTCACCACCACATCATGCGGGTCCACCGTTTCGCCTGTCTTTCAAATAGTTTTCTATCGATCAGTGCCATCAGCAATCACCCGTCGACGGGATTTAGCTGGGCAGCCGACATCGGCATTGAACTCAATTAAGCTGAGACGGTAGTTGAAATAAAATAAAAAGTAAACATTATGATTTCCACTACAGTCCCAGCTTAACTGGGTTCAATGCCGATGTGGGCTCTCCAGATCAATCCCATGGATGGGTGATTGCTGATGGCACTGGTCGATAGAAAACTAGCTCAGGGACAGGTCAAGCGAAGGGCCCGCATAGTGTGGTGGTGAGAGCGTTGTCCCCCGGAAAGCGTAATAGTGCGCTCGTACTTCACTGCAGACACCTACGGTTCGGAGTTTTGTTAATATCTCAGCATCGTTGTGGTTGTACTCTGCATAGTACCCTGTCGTGAAAAATTGTAATAGGCAGCAAAAAAAATGTGTTAGGAATATTACCAGGCCCTTGTTCTAACTGTGGACTTCAAGAAGGCGTTTGACAGTATCAAAACGAATGCAGTTCTGTCAGCGCTCTTTGACCAAACAGTGAGGGCTCTTTGCCGTCCTTATAGGGTAAGGAGTCAGACAAGGTGACACTATCGCTAACGGTGTTTAGCAGTTGATAATGAAGTAATTCGACTGGATCGAGAAAAGCATACGCATTGAAGCTAAATTCTGTTCCTTTTTTTTCCCTTAGTTCCTTAGAGGAGTACTAGTGAAGCCTAGATGATGTTTAATGAATTCATAGAGGCAAATAAGAAGATGGGACGGTGCATAGATCAAAATAAATCCCATTTACTAAAACCTAAGGTGTGAACATGGGTAAGTCAAACCGAATGTTTCTATACTACAGAGGCGATATCGCACGTATAGGAGAATGACCATTTAACATAGAGAAGAACATTAACATTGAAGTACATAGAGGAAGCAGAGCAGCACGGACTTTTGGCGGTCTCAAAGGAGCAACTGATCAACCAGTGTGATCAATGTGATCAAAATTCAGTCCTCACTTTTTCACTTTCCTCATTCTCGATACTCCTAACGCTCCTCAAAGGGAGTAAGTTGACACTTCACTCATCTCGGAAATAATATACTCTGAAATTTGTTCGGCACGTGTAACATCGGGAAGCTGGCGATGGGGGAACTTGTCTTGGCCCAACGTTAGCCTCCTTGCTTCCGGGTTTTCAAAATTGGTGCTATAGCTGTCGAGGAAAAACTTCATGCAAATGCTATGAAATGATCGTCATCGACGACGCTGGGTCGTGGCCGATCCTTCTCCTCTTCATTACTCTTATCTCCGTCTCCGAGGTTTTGAAGCCAACATTGAGCCATATAAGCGCTACAATTCGCAGCAGTTCGAATATTTAAGAAGTTGTTCAAGCTTAGCAATTTTTGTCTTCAATTTTCTTCGTGCTTTTTACTTATCCTCTGTCTTTTTATACTTTCTATACTTTATACTTTATACTTTTATACTTTCTTTCCTTGTGAAACATTTCAAACTCTTGTGTGTGATGAGAAAAAACTTGCCCATCATCCATCCGCATTGATGTCAGGCTTTAGGCAGATATCGAGCATGGCGGATGTCGAGCATTTTAAGGCATTTTTAACACATTCATCCATTTCAAATGAAAGCTAAGGTTTGTCGTATTGATTGAAAATTAAAGAACAATCAACTTGGATACTTGGGTAGCCTGTCCTCACTGGTTGTGTGGGCCCCAGCATAGTCTTCATTTTTTCGGAACTTTACTGGTTTAGCCATTGTGGTTCCTTGGAGCCGCGAGGTCAGTTAGGCCAAAGTCTGCCCTAGGTCGTCACCGCCACAGGCATACGTGGCTCTTGTGGGTCAGAGGGAGATGTGCCAACATGCAACCCGTTTCGTACTAGGACGGTGACGGATCCTGGTATTAGTATCCAATATGAGAACAATCAACTGGTGTTCAGAACTTCAATTTCAAATGTATGAATCATGCTGGGTGAAAACGGATTTGAAATTCATCATCGATGGATTCCTCAAATTGTGCTAGAAAGGAAAGAACACGCTGAAGGAAATAAGAAATCTGTTGTGTTCCGGTCAAGAAACTAAATCACATGAATATTAACAATCGTTCTTTCTTTTCCAAAAACTGACCATGATTTCTCGATTGTTAGGGTTTCGCACTTGAAAACTTCACAGGTGTATGGAGTAGGCAGAGCTTCATTGTCTTAGGGGCATATTCTTTTTCTACAAATTCCTCCATATTCTGTGATCGTTTTCATTTTTTTTAATCTTTGCCCTTTAATATTTTTGAAATTTGTTCACAATTAAATATTCGAGAAGGTTAACAACGTTGAATTTTTAAAATTTCTAACGAAATCACTACGGCCAAAAGCACAGACCATAACATTAGAAACGCCATCATGTCCGCTGGAAGAAATCTACTTAGTTTGTTCGACTGCTTTCGCGCTTTCACATTTGAAACATGAGCTTTGACCAAAAATATGGTGAGATAAAGACGTCTTGCGGACTTAAGGAAATCAAAGGCGCGTTCAGCGCAGTGGTCGGAGGCGCCCTGCAATACACATGAGATTGATCCCAGCACCCCAGGCCCATCAAGCCCTCCATGTATCGGGGGTTGGCAGAGTGGTACCAAACTTGCTTGGAAGGTTAGCAGAACTGGCTCGATACATCCCTAGGCCACGGCGAGTAATCGGAAGGGCCAGATAGGCATTCAATCACCCCCTACGATGTTTAATGAAGTAGAATGGCGCATCCCTGAGAGGTTGATCAACGTTGAGTGCTCTATCCTTTTATCCTTTTAAGGAAATAAGAGTCTCATATTTGTACAGGAAGAAATTTTTCATGTGTTAGAAACAATTCCAATGCTTGCAGTTTCAGTTAATAAAGTTGACCAGAGTCATGATATGTTGGCTTGATCTTGGAATCAACCATTTTTCTATTGCCACCTGTTTCAAATTTGTTTCATGTCGACATTATATGTTAATATATATTTTTCTCTCTCGGGAGATCTATTTCATCTCGAGAGCAGCCGTTGAACGCAAGGAAATCTCGGGAATTTGGTTTCAAATATGTATCGCTTTTTTAATACCACTGATTTAGTAAGCTTACAACTGAAATCATTGATGTTAAAGAAGGTGAGATGGTGAAAGTTATTCGATCATCGGTTGGAACTAGAATATGCGGTTCTTATGTGTTGTTTATCCATCAAGTTTCAGGTTTTCGAGGACTTTCTAAGCCATGTGGCTTGGAAGGTAAACTTGGAGGCGGCGCTTGAACTTGCTGCCTTGAAAGTTTGTCGCGACTTTATCGAAAAGAAGACGTGCGTATATTCTTTTTCTCTACCAAACATTCTCCTTATGTACCCGATTCCTACGTCATTTTAGAAAATCGTGTCTAGACCAGAAAGCTAGCATCAACTCGATCGATGTCGATTCTGCCCTGCAAACATTTGTCCCAAAAACTGTACTTTGCAGTGGAAATATCAAGGTAAATCATCATGAAATTCTATGATCAGAAATCCTCTTTTTGTATACGCCTTATATTTAAAAGCATATCTTTGTTGAGATCTTGTAAATAACTGAGTATAAGCTCTCACAAGCAATAAATAAAAGTAGTGTGATTTACTGCGTTCGTGACCAATGAGTGGTAGGGTACGCAGGGTGACCGTATTCAAGGCTCTAACATCTACAATATTTGCAGATTTTTATGTTTCTGATATCATTGAAATACAAAGAACATAGGGAGTGGATATTTGCTGTTCTTCTTTATATTAAAGAATTTCTAGCCGTCCGTTCTCCGTCGACAGTTCACACAGCTTCTGAAGAAGTATGCCTCTTTACCAGCTACGGAGTCCGTTCTGCAGTCTCTCTCAATTCTTATCGATATCGTCAAATTTGACGTCGAAATTTTCAAGGCCAGCATGGGAGTGAGTTCTTCTGTGGTTTTACAGCAATCAGCACATGTACCGCTTACGTTGAAATTTAGAAAGCAACTAGCAACCGCGTCTGTACGAAACGTTATGGGTTTCGATTTCACTGTAACAACTATAACAAAGTTTTCCTTAAGTCATATAACTGCTGTGAACAACCTCGAGTTTGATTTATAACAGTTTATAGCAAAAATAATACAGTAATAACAATGTGACGGCATCTAATTAGATGAACGGATATGAGCGAGATTGCGGGTATAAGTGAAGCACTTGAAAGCAAACACTAGAGATGGAGCACTAAGGGATAGAGGAACTCACACACACACACGCCACGCATTTACACACATCCACATACACATACACACACACACAAACACACGCACATATATACGAATATTTCACACACCACAAAGACACCACACATACGCATACACGAACACATAGACATATACACAAACACATACACATACACATATACATACACGTCTACACATACACATACACAAACAGATATACACACATATGTACGTACACACATACACACATATACACATTCACGTACACATACATACACACATGGACACTTACACATACACACACATACGCACACACACACGCACACAGTCTTGGATAGTGCTCCTTAGATTCCTTCTGTAGTGAGTGGGGCTTTTACAGAGGGAACTGGAGACAGTGCTCAGAGAGTGGTTCTAAGAGTTTCTCAGCCAGTACAATCTGATAAAGCTACTTGATAAAAAGGTTCGAGAAGTTTATATAATAGCTTATACAGAAGGTACATGTGAAAGCGCGCAGCTGTTCGTGCAGAAAGTTCATCTGAAAAGCTACACAAAGGTTTATACAAAGAGTTCATGTGAAAGAGATGGAATAGCTTGTACAAAGGCTTTCACAGAAACTACATGTGGAAACGGTACAAAGACGGTATGAATGGATATACTTAAGATAATTACAAGTAAATAGTGTAGGAAACATGCAATGTTGTATAGAATAGGAACTATTTGAGGGTTAGTTACTATATCTATCGAGAGTTCAAAATATTGACGTGTCTTCTAAAATTCTTTCCGAATGTTCCGTTATTCAATCAATACATTATGATCCCGACATAATTCTACTGAACTATATCAGATTATAGCATATGTGCATACAAGAGGAGGGTTGTCATCGAGATTTCTAAGTGCCCCTTTCCTTCTCTATGTCGGTTTCTTAAGGTCGGTTGGGGTTCGCCGGTTGATTTGCTTGTTGGACCAGAAGTAGGGCTTTCCTATCGAGTTAACGAAAGATGTGAGGTGGGTTTTGTTTTGTGATTCAAGGAGTCCGTTATCAAATTGTTCTTATACTCATTTTTCTGTAGCTTTCGAGATTGGCTGAATTACGATCGGTGCTTGAAATCGTTATCAAGAAAATGGAACAAGGTTCGGAAAAAGCTATCTTGCAGTTGAAAATATCGGGTAACGCACAACTAATGGTAATTTTTGAACTGCTATCATCCTTTTTTGTTCTGCCTTCTGCGTCTTGCGTGTTTTTTTTTGTTTTATTTTGTTGTGTTTGTTTTTTGCTGCTTCTTCTGCATTATGTTTCCAAATATAACCATGATTAAGAGCACATTAATTGTGAACTCGACTTAAAAGTACGTTTACATATTTTTTGGAGGTTTCAAAATTAGTCAACGTTCCAGTATGAAAGGCTCGTGTAGCGCAGTGGTTACAGGTGTCCTATAAAACACACAACACACGTGGTCCTTGGTTCGATTTCGCGTTCTAGGCAAACCGAGCCGTCCATCTCTTCAGTGACCGGAAATTGGTACCAAGTTTGTTCTGGGAGGGTAGAAATACTGAGTGTATCACATTAACCTTTTACGTCATTAGCCAATCACGCATCTCTGCAATGCTCAAACAGTTGGACATATCGCATCGCTGATAGCTGCCTATTTGGCCTATACAACGATTTACGATAGCCCGCTTATATATTACGTCAATGCTTCTATTCTTCCAGACAAGTTTGGTGCGAATTAGGCGACCAACTTGTGAAGATTTCCACAAAATTCTTTCATAGTTTTATTCTCTTTTATGTTGCAGGAGAATGCTTTCCATGTTAGTTTGTTCAGCGGAATGTAGTTTGTTGAATCAACTGATATCGCAGTTGTGTCATTTAGTTCAATATAGAATGCTCGTCGTCGTACGATTTTCAATGAGGATTTCATTGTAGAAGTTTACATGTGGGAACGAAAGGAGCTTTAATGCAACACTGATTAGAACAGTTATCTGCATGAAATCTGACAGTGATTAATACTGCTCACGTTAATAGATAGCTCAACAACTGAGTTTTACTACTCAAAGTAAAGCAGCAAGAGTGAGGTGACGACTCTAAGAGCAGTATCCGGGCGAGGAGAATTTCGCCATCACTTATGATGCTGCCCGTAATTCTGGTGGAATAGGCAGAGTTATGACGTGGCTTCTGAGTTTTCATTCAGTTAAGGGCGACAGAGGATATTCAGCGCGCGTGAACACATTGGACAAAGAGGGCATCTAGCAAAGGACAGTTTCACAAATGAATTATTCGTAGATGTAATGTAGTCATTTTTTACTTAGTGCCTATTCTTTTTCATGGCAGGGTATGATGTGAAATATAACTGCAATTATGCTGATTTTTTCAAAAGCCCAGACCGCAGGTTTTATGGTGGGAATCAAATGTGGTGTCACTATTACTCTTTTCTGGACCTTACGTGTTACCCACTACACCACTGAGGTCCTTGCTTTGCCTTACGCTCCCCCAGTTTCTGACCCTAACTGAGCCGTCGGCAATCACCTGTCAACAGGAATGACCTAGAGAGCACAAATCGGCATTGAATCCACTTAAGCTGATCCTCTAATTGAAATCACAATGAGTAACTTTTTATTCATTGCCTAATATTTTTACACGGCAGGGTATGACGTGAAATACAACCACAATGATGCTGAAATGACTGCAGACTAGGTTTAGAACTGCGATCACCCTTTCCGGGGGCTCACATGTCTTCCAAGTTTTGTAAACATCAGAATATCATTAAGTTTGTTCCTCACATAATACCGTGCCGTAAAAAAGTATTAGACAGTAAATAAAAAGTTATACATTGTAATCTCAACTGCTTCCCAACGGTTTCCGCCTCATCGCGGCTGGGAAGAGTTCCTGGGTGTGGGGGTGCGATCTACGGTGGGGGATTCATCCCCGCTAGGGTCTCCCAAGCTGAGAAAGCGTCCGGCATTCCACCAGGAAGTCCAGTTAAAAGCAAATCAATAGCAGGATCCACAACCGTCCTAGTATCAAATTAGTCGCATGGTGGCAAATTTTCCTTTGATTCACAAAGGCGGCGAGTGCCTGTGGTGGTGACGACCTGGTGCAGACATTGACCAGGATGGCCTCGGGTTTCCAGGGAAATAATGGCTAGACCAGCAAAACTCTGAGAAATGGAGGTTTTGCTGGGACCTAAATGAGGACGGGCCGTCCAAGTATCCAAGTAATTTCAACTGCAGGCCCAGCTTAACAACTTTCAATGCCGATTTGCGCTCTCCAAATCAATCCCATTGACTAGTGATTGCTGATGACACCGGCGGATAGAAAACTAGCTGAGAAGGTAGGGGAAACGAAAGACCCGTATGGTGTCTTGGGGAATGCGTTAGCCCCTGGAAAGGGTAATAGCGCGCTCGTTCCTCACGGTAGACGCCTGCAGTCCGGAGTTTCGCAAATATCTCGGGATCATTATGATTGTTTTATAATAATATTCGTGTAGAACTTCAACACAACTAACTTTGCACTACTTGTAGTTGATTACCGTTGCCACGTACGATATTGCGGAGTCCTTAGCACATCTGATTGATGGCTACCAGATGATGTACAACCAGGGCGAGTCAGTCTTCAAGAGAAAAGGTTTTTTGTGCTCTAATTTATTTTTTCTAATTCTTTGTTTGTTGTTTTCTTTTTTTTTTTTGAAGTTGTCGACTTCCAGTCTGCTTATTTTCCTACCTTTCACTTTGCATCCACATGACGTGTGATCTTTGAGAGCAGAATAATTTCCATTGCTCGATATCGATTGAGACAGCTCTCATTTGTAGGCATATAAATCCTATTTTTTAAGTGTTTGTGATTCATTGGAGTCGTCGTACTGAAATCAAATGAGTTCTAAGTTTTAGGATTAGAGCGCTGTGGAAGTGCTGATATGCGCACTGCCGTTATACCTAGAGCTTACGCTTCAGTAGCGTGCGATAAAGGACATTTTAAAGGTGAGATTACTTACATAAGAAAAGGATAAAGCTCTCGGCGTTGTTCAATCCTTTAGAGATGCGCCATGCATTCGACTTCATTAAGCATCGTTGGTGGTGACTGGATGCATATCTGGCCTATCCAATAACTCGCGGAAGCCTACCGATGTATGTAATCAGTGCTGCTATCCTCTCACACAAATCCGCAACCAATTTCCCGATCCCGGAGGGCGTTTAGTGAGCCACCGGCTCGGGCATCGTTCCCATGTGTGTGTTTCAGGGCGCTTCCCATCACTGCTCCACACACGCCGCTTACATAGTTCCTATTGCTTACATAATAGCCATTATTCCTTTGATAACTTTCAGTGCTTCCACTGCACTTTCATTCGTAACATTGAAAGTGCACTTTCATTCGTAACAGCAACATTCATTTTTACAGTGAGCCACGATCTACGTGTACGACGCGAACACATTACTCTGAAAGAACTGATTGGTGGTGGACAATTCGGAAATGTATACAGCGGCACATTAGCTGATCCGGTAAAGTCCTGTTTTTCATCATCTATTGATTTTTTCGTTGTCTTACTGTTTATGATTTTGCTTCATAATTATTCATATTCTGTTTCTAGGGATCGGTCCCTATACCTGTAGCGGTGAAAGTGTGTAAATTAGAAAATGAACCTATGGATACTCAATTAATACTGCAGGAATCTCGTTAGTTTTGCATGTTTCTTTTGGTGAATAGCCAAAACATGGGCTTATAATCTATATTTGTAGATCTAATGAAAAATTTGCAACACGAGAACATCATCTCACTAATTGGCGTTTGTATGGATGCACCGATGTGGTTAATTATGGAGTTGGCACCACTTGGCGAGGTGGATTTCCAACTTTCAGTCCTAATTTTCGTATCAATGGGCTCGTGTGGCGCAGTGATCGGAGGCTCCCTACGATACACATGGGATCGATTCTCGCACCCCTGCCCCACTAAGGCTTCCATTCCTCCGGGATCACCTAATTGTTACCAAACATCTGAGAAGATAGCACTGGCTCGATACATCGGTAGGCCACCGCGAGTCATTGTAAAGGCCAGATATGCATTGAACCACCTCCAAACGATGTTTAATGAAGTCGAATGCATAGCGCATCCCTCAGGGTTTGATCAATGCCAAGAGCTTTATCCTTTATCCTTTAGTTTGTATATCTGTGGAAGGTTTCACGTCAAGAATCTTCTGAATTTTCTGTTGAGCTTTAATGTGCTTTTGCAGTTGCGTCAGTATTTGCAATCAAATCGAGCCTCGTTAACAATCAATTCACTCATTCTCTATTCACTTCAAATTGCACGAGCTCTCTCTTACCTTCATGGCAAATCCTTCGTACACCGAGATATCGCAGCTAGGAATGTTTTAGTATCCACGCCGAAGTGTGCCAAACTAACTGACTTTGGATTAAGTCGTGCGCTCGACTACGACGCAATATATACAGGTATTCTAGTCATACTTGTGTTCATCTGCGAGTATTCTGGAAAAGTACCAGACTCTATGGTGTATTCTATACTTTGTTATATATTTATAATACCTATTAAGCTTCCCGTGGAAAACTTCCAATAAAGTGGCTGGCTCCAGAGTCAATCAATTACAGAGAGTTCAGCATGGCTTCCGACATATGGATGTACGGTGTGTTATAGTAGTAGATCTTTGAATAATATGAAGTGTTGCCCTTTACCGAAATACTCTTGTCCTTTTATTTTACCTTGTGCACTTTGAATTGCAGGTGTGTGCGTTTGGGAAATCATGTCATGGGGTGTGAAACCTTGGCAAGGTGTAGCTAATGCGGACGTCATCACCCGGATAGAAGCTGGTGAACGGCTGCCTTGCCCAGATGGATGTCCTCCTGTCCTGTTCAATTATTTAGAACTGATGTTGTGGGCATTGCAGCCTCAAAAGCGCCCAACCGCCAAGGAAATCGTAGCGGTATGTGCAGTGGGAATGAATTAAAATTGATCATGTTTGTTAACCTTTGTGTAGAACATCGCAAACAGTAGACGAAATCTTCCATATCTTTGTGAATTGGGCTTTATAACGTATTTGCGAAATGACATTTTCCTTCATTCCATTTAGATATTTTTAGGTTATGGGGTCGCTTCACGATCAGCTGGAAAAGCATATACCTGTGGAAAAACTGCATTTGATTCGACCAGTTGAGGTTCCAATAACAATGACCTTTGTGAAACAAACAAGTGGTAGTGAAAATGAAGTTTTCGGACGAATTTGTTAACCAAACATTGTGGCTGATTTCTCGGAGAACTCACCATCTAGTCAGAATGATTCACCTGAATGCGGACAGCTTTTTCGCTGAAAGGTCAACAGCACAAAAGTCTTGAAAACAACCTTGTTTTAAGCTTATCGAGAAGCCAAGCCAAGATAAGACGTCTTTAATTTTGTGTTTGTTCTTGAAGTACTACCCTAGGATTTTTTTCAATTTTTTTCTACTAAAATTCGAATTTATCTACATTTCATTGTAGAATGTTCCTGTTCTTCTTACCAACATTGCTACTTTGCCGAATTTGACATTGTGGAGGACGTTGGAAGAACAGAAACGACAAGCTGAAGAAAACGATAGATGGCTAGACGAGCAGGAAGATTTGGTATGCGTGAAATGTTGGTTTGATCTAACTTATGGAACTTATTCATTTTATTACGTTTTAAGACTTTAAAACGAATCTAAACAATTGCTTGTTTTCCACGGGAAGTTGTGAAGACCGGCGTTTTGTTGTGCCTGTTTTATCAAATGTACAATCATTTTGAAGTGAGGTGTAATTTGTAGACGGTCTATGATCGAGTGGATGAACAAGAGTTTTCTCCTAACGGAGTCGGGACTTCAGCAAGCAAGACATGCTTGAATGGGTCATTAGAAGAAAAATCGGTACCTGCGGTAGGTGCCCTTTTTCCTAACAAAAGTACCAGTTATGAATTTGAAACACGTTCTGTTGCTTTATGTACTTCAACAAACGATTTATCTGGCGACATATAACATTGTAATGTGTGAAATAAAATATAATGGTGCTGAGATGGTGGGGACCGAACATGCTATTACCTTTTCGGGGGCTAACGCGTTCACCACCGCACCATGCGAATCCTTCGTTTCGCCTGTCTCTCAGCTGTGTTATTGATCTATAGGTGCTGTCAGCAATCACTATTCATGATTGTTGTGTAAATGGTCTAAGACTGTTTCAGGAACGGTTGCGCAATATCACTCCTATTTCGCAAACTGTCACAGCAGTTATTGGTGCTATTGATCGCTTGTCAAATGCGTTCAATACCAATATGAAACACGACGATTTTGTCTCAAGTATTAAGGCAAGTTAATAGTATCTTTCGTTTTGTATGTTTGAATGTGTTGTGAATTTAATGGTGGTTTGGTATTGTAACAAAATTGCTTTAGGAGATCACTTCAAAGCTTCGGGAGATGTTTTCTGAATCAACGGAAGTTGTTAGACACATGGTTCAAGAACAGCGAAAGGAGGTATGTTTAGTTGTTTAACACATAACGGTCGGAATGCATTGCTTGCTATACATGTATTTGGTTGGGAAAGTTGACGAACTTTCATTCTTTGCATTTCCTTTTCAGTAGTTTACTGCACAGAGCTTTCTTTTACTGTACCTTTGGTACTCGGTCGATAGCTTCTTCAATGCAGATGTTTTGTCATGCGTAACTAGTGGAAAACTGTTCCCTATACGTAATAATGTGGAAAAAGTTTTTCCTTCGAACGAGTTGACTGACCAGTAATTTGATAAGTAATTGACTGTTGCTTCATTCAAATCGCTGTGATGAATCATGGTGTGGAATGGACAACTATAAAAAAATATCCAAATAGGCACAACATAGGTTGCATAACACATCCAAATGCTGATAGCGGTGTGGTTATATGGAGGATCATGGTAAAGGATAAATGGATAAAGTTCTCGGCGTTGATCTGTCTCTGAGGGTTCCGCCATGCACTCGACTTATTGAGCATCGTTTGGAGGTGACTAAATGCATATCTGGCCTTTACAACGACTCGCGGTGGTTTATCGATGTATCGAGCCAGTGCTGCTATCCTCATCTATAGTGAAGTGTAGTACTAATTTGCCTACCCCAGAGGGATGGAAAATTTGGTGGACCCGAGGCGCAGTAATCGATCTCATGTGTATATGTCCTTAGTTAACTGCGCTACACGCGCCTTGTGGAGGATCATAGTAAGGTATAGAAATTAGTAGCATGCATACCATGCCTCTAGGGTGATGCAACGTTTTGCTTCCTTTTCGTTGACGTTATCAATCACAAGGCTTCTAGTTGTCGGAAACTTATACTGTGTTGTCCATGCGAACATGGAAATTTTGTGCCACGCCGCACATCGTGAAATTACGAGTCCGGCGTTGTATGTTAAAACCATTAATCTTTCAAAAAATAAAATGCATTTTTGGCTTCGTTCTTTTCTTAAGCCGTCAGTAATTTGAGTATCGAATTAGGTCGAATTGACTGAAGCCCTCATCGGTAATGACATGAGACAGATGAGTAAAGTTGTTCAACAAGTTGTCGACAGCATCAATAAGCCGGTAGGTTTTGATAAAATCCATGCTACAATTAACTCTATGCACACGATTTGTTTCTTTTTGCTACCTATATGGACCTCTAAATTTTTTTCTTCTTTTTTTTACAACTTCTATCTTCACATTTACTGCTTTTCACATACTGGGAGTCCCATTCCTTCTCGTATTCGATCTGTTTCCTCGAAACGATCGTCCAGGAAGGCCTTCGAACTTTTAGCATGTGGATTGAGCTGCTGCTTGAGGATTGTCACCTTTTCGTTGTGCGTCATTGAATACTGGTCGAGTCGGTTCTCCCTGGAGTCCCATGATATCTGGGATATGGCATTCTCAATTAGATTTCGCCGAATGCGCTATTCCTAGACAAATTGAGCGCTCTGTGACCCCAGAGTGCTGGAAGACTTCGTGAGCCAGGAAGGGGTCCTACCAGAACTGTGTTCGTAACGAACCGCATAACAAGCTCCGCCTCACGCAACCACCCTACGTTTATCTACGAAAAACACTGGGAGTTTTGGTTATGCTTATGTTTTCTAACTGTTTAAATAATTGTTTAGTGTCTTTGTACGATTGATAAAAGAGTTAATAGTGAATTAAACACGTCTTCAACTTCTGGATAAAGCTTTCCAATTCCAGAGTTTTATGGTCATCTGCTCTAATAAGTTAATTTTACTGGCTTGTGTTTCAGTCGTATCATGTTTATCGGCGTGAAGTTGTTAGGATTGCTAAGGAGTTGGCTGTAAATTGTGGAAACTTTTTGTCTTTGTTCGAAGTCAGTACTCGGGTGCAGCCGTCCGATTTCCGAGTCATTCTTTCGGATTGTTGACTTTCCTACTTTTTTGTTGATGCTCATAAATTTTTGTGATATATGCTTTTTTCGAAATTTAGTTCTTGTTGATACTGAAATTGCCTGTATATTGTGTAATACTTGAACTGTAAGCTTTCGGAGCCTTTTGCCATCTTGATCTTTGAGTTAGATTTCGTTCTAATTGGAAAGGAGGCCTATATATCTTCATTATGCTTGCATTACCATATTTCCCTTGATAGTTTGTTCTTCAATTAGCTTCAATTTGTTATGGTCAGTTATAATTTACGAATGAGTGCAATTCGCAGGATATCGACGAATACAGGTTCTTTTGCTGCTCGATTTATCGGATTAATCAATCCTTTCCAGGTTGTCCAACACAGAGTGCAATCGGAATTTGGATAATAATTCATAAATAAAGATTTGTATTACGAGATAAGCCAGCTTTATCTCTGCAATGTTCTGTGGTAAAATCGTTGTCACAGGTAGACATCTTTGCCATGACTGCTGATTATCATACATTGTCCCTTAGGTTAGGAAATTTCGTGAGCAATGAGTAACAGCAATGTCTCCATAATTCCTATCACATTCCGGCAATAAGTATTACATTGCACTTAGCTTTGGAGTTGTTGTGAAGTTTTAGCATTTGATGTTGGGACTGCAATGAAGGTAGTCGGAAGTTCCCAGGATCGACTTTCTCTTAACCTCGGCATTGGAATATGAATGTGTCGTTTTCTTGCTCAGCAATCGCGAGGTTTTAAACAGCATACATTTACTTCCATAAAAACACAATACAATACAACGCTAGCTGACGTTTCGGCAGTATCGCCTTCTTCAGAGCCTGGAAGGGTATACTGATATACAATCTACTAGGCCAAACGCTTCAATAACACTTACAAAAAGACGAAGAACTCTCCGGTAATTACACAATCAACAACTTCTCGAAAAACCC